TATCCAAAACTTTATTCCCTTTCTTGTCCCCTCTGACCTCAATTCTGTGCCAACTGAACTCTAATCAACCAGAGTCAGATGACTAAAATTGCTGTTGTCGATAACATCATTAATGTACTAAAATTGCTATTATAGGATATCATCATTAATGTACAAACTCAGGTTGTTTCTCCAGGGCTGGATGAGCCCATCCTTGTCTCTTTTCATAGACCCTCCATTGCCTCTTAACTGGATTATTGCAAATGTTTCCTTAATTATTTCCCTACTTCTTGCCTCTCTGGCAAGGTCCCTTGTATAGATTTAGCCTCTTTTTTTTTTTTTTTTTTTTTTGCGGTTCGTGGGCCTCCCGGACGCGCAGGCTCAGCGGCCATGGCTCACGGGCCCAGCCGCTCCGCGGCATGTGGGATCTTCCCGGACCGGGTCACGATCCCATGTCCCCTGCATCGGCAGGCGGACTCTCAACCACTGCGCCACCAGGGAAGCCCCGATTTAACCTCTTAATACATGGCTGTATTCACCTCACTCCATTAGTTATCTATTGCTGTGTAACAGGTTACCCCAAAATGTGGCAGCTTAAATATTTATCTCACACAATTTCTGTGGGTTAGGAATCTGGGAACAGATGAGTTAGTGTTGGCAGGAATGCAATTCTCTTAGGCTTGACTGGGCTGGAGGGTCTGCTTCCAAGGTGGTTCTCTCAACTACCTGACAGGTTAGTGCTGATCAACGGTAAGAGGCCTCTTCTCAGTTCCTCATTATATCAGCCTCTCCATAGTGACATCTGAGTGTCCTCATGACATGCAGCCAGCTTCCCCCAGGGTGAGTAATCCAAGAGAGTGCAAAAGAATAATTTTTAAATAGAGTTTTTAATTGGGGCCTGAGGACAGATAGTAATCAGCAAAATGACTGCCTGTAAGATTTTTCATTGCTGCATTAATTGTACAAGCAGAAGACTACAAACAGCCTAAATGTACTTCAAGGGAGAACTAGTTAAAGAAATTTGACAGATACAGTGGAAGAAATAGGATGCTCTTTATATTTATATAAAAGGATGTCTTAAGATATAACCTCACATGAAAAACATGAGGTATAGAATAGAGAACAGCATGTATTGTATGCAAAATATGTGTGTACATGCATACATATGTGTGTGTGCAATATGTATACATACATACATATATATTTATATAAAATACATGATTTCTCTGGAAAGATACACAAGAAATTGCTAACTGGAGGTTATGGTTGCCTCCAGAAATCTAGGAAGGGGCTGTACATGACTGGGGGAAAGATAGAAAGGGAGACTTTCACTGCATGATGTTTGTATCTTTTTGTTCTTCCACTTTTATTGAGATATAATTGACATACAGCACTGTATAAGTTTAAGGTGTACAGCATAATGATTACATACATCAATGAAGCGATTATCACAATAAGTTTAGGGAATATGCATCATCTTATATAGATACAAAGTAAAAGGAAAAGAAAAAAACTATTTTCTTCCTTGTGATGAGAACTCTTAGGATACACTCTCTTAACTTTCATATATAATATATAGCAGCAATAATTATGTTAATCATGTTGTACATTACATCCCTTGTACTCATTTATCTTATAACTGTAAGTTTCTACTTTTTGACCACTTTCATCCAGTCTCGCTCTCTCCACCCCTTGCCCCTGGTAACCACAGTCTGATCTCTTTTTCTACGAGTTTGTTTTTTGAAGTATCATTGACCTACAACACTATGTTAGTTCCTGGTGCACAACATAGCGATATGATATTTCTATACATTACACAATGATCACCATAAGTGTAGTTACCATCTCTCACCATACAAAGATATTACATTGTTATTGACTATATTGGAATATAGTCAATAATAATACAGTTGATATTTCTACCTTTTAAATTATGTGCTTATTCAAAAATTATTTTAAAAAATCCAGACCAATTGTCCACTCAGAGGGAAAAAAGCCAAAGCCAGAGGAGAAGAATAAAATAAATGACTTTGCTGTAGGAAAGATTTAGACATCAGAGAGAACTAGATGGAAATACAACTTGGACAGTTACTATTGAAATGTGGGAAACATATGGTTTCAACCCCAAGTGAGACTCCCAGTTACCTGTAGTCTAATTCTGAGAAAGGAGGCCTTGGGGCAGTGGTAGAATTACTTTGGAAACCAAGACGAAAGAAGTTCACTTTTGGAATTACATAAATTGGGAGCTGGGTGAATTTTAGAGATACAGTAGATCAGAGATCACAAACAGGTAGGCCACTGGCCAGATGCCTATGTGTATTGTGTTTGGTTTGAATACTGTTTTTAAATGTTATATGAACTGTTAAAGGATAAACTGAGGCATGTTAAAATTTTTGACTCTCTTTGAGCAAAAATCAATTCAAATAGGGCAGCACCAAACAGAAAGTGGTTAGGAGAACTCCACTGACTGGAGCCTGGGGAGAGAATCTTATAGAGAAAAGGCAGAAGCAAAGCAATTATTGAATGGTTATAGCTTGAAGTCTAGTTGGCTGTTTGCGATTGGTTGTCCTTAGCATTTTGATTTTGTAACCTTGAGGCATTTACAGACTTAGACTTTGGTTTTCTGAGGCAGGTTGCCATTGAATTAGAGCCACCTCAATCTAATGGCCTCCTTGTTTAAGTAATTTAACAAAATTAATTGCCCACATTTGAAGATCAGGAGATTTCACTTTTGTTGTTGTTGTTGTTAAAAAGTTAAATATCTGACTTCTTTAGAAATGTTGGAAGCTCTGGTGGAGAAATCCTGCATTCCTACATGGCAGCCATGGTAGCTTTGTAGACAGAGGCTGGTACTCCCCAGTTTGCCACGGCTCCCCCCAGCAAGCCAGTTTTCATCACCTGATGAGCTCATGTAAGCGTGTCAAGTGAGGAAACTAATGCTCAGAGGCAAACTTTGAGAGCTCATGTCTCCCTATTCCTAGTCTCCAATCAAGAGTCATAAGCTTGGTTTGTGCAACTACTCAGAATCCTGTCTCTAAATTAATGCCACGACCTCAACCCAGTGGTTGGTTCCAACATCCACAATTGGGAAACCTTTGTTTTTGTTTTTTTTCCTCCCTCAGGAATCATACAAAACTCACCCAGAATTACAAGGACTATATCTATCCTGGGATCTTAGAATCTTTCTATCTCTTCTCTGTTGTTGTCTGGTCCTAGTTCCAGGTCTAAAAATGCTCCCATTTTCTGCCAAACTTGCAACAGGGCCAGAAGCTTCCTTTGCCATGGCTGAAGAGGAGAAACTTCCTCTACACTCTTATATTGTCATTTGGGAACTGTGAATTAAACTGACAAAAGACAGATTAATGGGAGTTCACAGAAAAAGTTGACTCAAGGAGGCGGTTAGAATTTGGGCTTATGTACTATCTTAATGAGATAAGGGGAAGGGGAGCGCAGCACTTACAGGAAAACAAATGACTTCTTAATAGGGGAGGAGGAGAAAGGGCACTTATTGGAAAACAAATGACTTTCAGGAAAGATAAATAGGTCTTTAGGAGAACAGATGGGAGATACAGCTTTGTGACGATGTGTAAGTGTGATGCCCACTTCTAGTCAATCTTCTCTAGTTGGGGGAGGGGATTTATGACAATTGAGTTCTTTGGGGAGGCTCCACATTTAGGAAGATAATGGAGTTCAGGAAAAAAAGCCAATTCTCAAATGCCTTCAGCTCAAAATAATTTTTATGCTGCAGTGGTTATTCTGGACCTCTTTAGACTTATTCCAAAGAGTGGCCGCTGACGCTAAGACTCAAAGGAGTTCCGCTGGTGCTGACCACTAACCCTTCTTTCCCCCCTGATCCCTGCGATCCACACATCTAAAGATGCTGTTCTGAAATGCCACACCTCATAGTGAACCACCTTCCCTTGCTGTGTTCTTTCTGGTCCTGCCCCTTCCCACTGCTTCTCAGGAACCATTGTGGTCTCCACTCCTGAAGACAATGTTACTCAATCTCCAGATACATGTTAGAGTTCTTACATCTGAAACGTGACTTCATTCTCTGGAGTGAGAGCTCCCCTGTTAAGGGCTTTAGAGCAAGGTTTACAGGCACTGTGAAGACTAATTGTCTTCAGGTTGTGAGAATTCAACTCAAACTATCTAAAGATAAAAGAAATTACTGGCTTACATAATGGCAAGTCTAGGGGAGAAGATGGCCTCAGCCCCACTATTCCAAGTCACCGTGACTTCTCTGTTTTCTGCCTTTGCTTATTTAAACTCTTGGCTTTTTTCCTTCGAACCCTTCCACAGTCTGACACAAGCTATGTCTAAGGGCACATCCTCAGGTCCTCAGATTGGAGGGAGAGTTTCTTAGTTTACAGATAAATTCCCAGAGTTCCGACCTTGCTTCTATTTCCTAGCAGTTAACTCCTTCCTCAACAGCAAAAGTGGGATGATAATACCTGCCTGGAAAAGCTGTTGTGATTTTTAAAAATATACGTTAGGGATAATACTGTACAGCGTCTGATACACAGTAGGCGCTCAATAAACATTATTCTGCGCGTGTATATACGTGTATATATATACACGTATATACATGGGGCCGTTGAGGAGGTTCTAAACGAACCGGACCTGGAGGGCCAGTCATGCCCCGGGTCTCAGCCTTCGACCCTCAAGTCTCTCAGGCTTTGGGTCAGTGAGGCAGCAGCGCAGCTCTCGAACCCTGGAGTCAAGGAGAAGTTCCGCACCTCAGGGCCGAGAGGAAAACAACGAGGGGGACCAAGGGGCGTGCCAAAACCACCCTATCCCGCATAGAGCGATGCTGCGTAACCGAGCGGGCTGAGAACTACCCCAGACAAGCTGCGGTGAAAAGAAAGCCGCAGCCACTCCCCTGTGAGCCGAGACTAGAGAACAATGAGTTCAAGCCCTGCACGCGGAGGCTCGGGGTGCCACGCCCGGGGGCGGGCCCAACTCGCGGCCTGACGGGAAACGTAGTGTCTAAAGCTGTGCCAGTGCAGCTCAGTTGCTCGCCGGCCCGGGCTCCGCGCAACTACAAGTCCCAGCAAGCCCCGCGAGGCCTTGATCAGCCGCTTTTCGCCGGGAAGGGAGAGGGGCGAACATGGCTGAAGGCAGCAGGGGCGGCTCAACGTGTGGCGGCGGGGAGGGCGGCAGGCAGAACCCGGTTCCCAGCAGTGGCGGCTGCAACTTCCCAGAGTACGAGCTTCCTGAGTCGAATACGCGCGTTTTCCATGTGGCCGCTTTCGGGGAGTTGTGGCTTGGCCGGCTGCGCGGGGAAGGGGACTTGTCGCTGAAGGAGCCGCCGGCACCGGCGCTGCCCGGGGGCCGAGGGGTTGCAGACTCCGGCCGGGAGGATGAGGCCGTGGCCCGGGATCTGGGCTGCAGCCTGGAAGCGGCAGCCGAGCTGAGGGCGGTGTGCGGGTGAGTGCGGGGCCGAGGGGCTCTTGCGGCTTGGAGTCAACGCGGGTGCAGCCTTGCTCCTGCGCGCCCCTGGGCCTCATCATGGGGGCGGGCCTGTGGTTTACTCCCCGGGGTAGAAGGGCCGCCCTATCAAAGCTTTCCCGGAACAACGGGAGAAGTCCCGTGATGGGAATGCACAATTTCTGCTAGTGGGATTGAAGGGACGAGAGAGCCGCATGAAAGATTAATTTTTCTATTCACTAGTTTTTAAAGTGCTTATTAATGTAGGAGGGCAATCAGAGTAACAGCGACGTGTATGTCTTTGACAAGACACTTTGACGACGGAGGAACCTTAGTTTATGATGAGGCTGGAAGGATATTTAACCACAGCAGTGTCAAAACCTTGATTATCTCTGGTCTCTTTTGGGGACCTCCTGGGTATACTGTTATTGAGATATTCCTCAAAGTGATTTATTTTAAATGAAAATATTAAAATAACAATCTATTTCTCCATTTAACAGTATTGGCCACCTTCAACCAGGCATATATCCCTTTCTTTATAGAATATTGGCACAGAATTCGCCTTTAATTCTGGTTATCTGATTGCTTAATTATTCAGTGATGTATTTAGGACACAACTCCTGCTTGCTAAGGACAGGATGTGGTGATTACTTTGTTTGTTTTTGTTTTAGTCTTGATAAACTGAAGTGCCTTGAGGAAGGGGAGGATCCAGAAGTCATCCCAGAAAATACTGACCTAGTGACTTTGGGGTATGGAGGACTTTGCTTTTGTTACTTATTTAAATATTTTTTTCAACATTACATTATTCGAAAGTTGAGAGTATGGTATTGTTATCCCACCTCCTAAATTCAACCATTGTTGACATGTGGCTGTATTGGCTTTAGCTGTATGTGTTTGAGATACCTCGTGTGTGTCTTTTTCTATGGCTGAACTGTTCAGTAAGTTGCAGACATCATGATAATTTACCGCTAAGTACATCAGCGTATAGCTTCTAAAAGTATGATCCTATTACTTAATCAGAGTGGTATTATTATACCTAAGAAAATTAACAGTAACAGCATTATCTCTAATATCCAGTCCATATTCAAATTTGTGTTTATTTTTAAGTGTTTACAAAGGTACAGTTAATCTGCTTGGATTTTGGGGTGGCAAGCTAAAAACTCTCGATAGTGTGGTAAAGGACTCGTTTTTGAAAATTTTCTGTCAGATCCATACTTCTGTAAAATAGGATAAAAATGAATTACTAGAAAAATGAAATTAAAAGGCAAACATAATAAAACTCCAAGTTTTTTATCATTAAATTCAACAGTAATATTACCGTCATATAGGTGTGAACATTTCTAAATGCTTACTCTCATTGTCTGTAGTGATTGGATAACAAATAGCTCATAGATCAATTCCGGTCTGCCAACTACATTTTGAGAAAGGCCGCTCTATGGTAATACTATTATAGAGAAACTGCATGTAATAGTGAAATTTGTAATTTCCAGTTTGTAGCCCGTTTACTTTGCACCATCTCAGCTATGTTGTCATACTTTATCCTGCAGGTGTTTCGACCCTACCTTGTTGTTGGCTTCTTTTTGTAATTGCCGAATCTGTTTCTCTTATCCCTGTTGCTAACACTTACATTAGCAACACTTGGAGCACTATAAAAGGTTCCTGTCTTTCCTAGGTCCTGTGTTTTCTCCTGACTTATCCATCCTGCTATCGCCTAAGCATGCTCATTTGCTGAGAAATCGTCAATGGCTCAACCTCTCCTCTATGGGCAAATTTCAGATTTTTTTACTTAGACGTTTGAAACCTTCCACATAGCCCAAATCTGCCTTTCTTGACTTGTTTTCAACCATTTTCTCTTTCAGTGCCTCAGGATGCACATGGCCCCTCTCCCAACTGAACCCTAACCTAACCAGTCTTTGAGTCCCTAACATTCATTTCCACATCTCTACAACCCATCTATCTCCCTTTGGAAATAGACACACTTGTAATGTCTAGAATTCTTCTAACACTTCTAAAGTCCTTGAAGGTTCATTGAGAGTCCAAGCTCCTTCATCTGTGAATTGCGCTTAAGCCTGTCGGACTGCTTTACTCCATTTGGTACCCTTTAACTATTGTTGATTGATTATTTGGATTTTTTTCTAAAATGCACATCTGATTGTCTCACTCTCTTACATAAAATCTTTCAATCGTTCTTAGGCATAGTCCTGAGTTCTTAAATGGATCACAAGGTTCTCTTATAGAATGGATCTTGATGGTCTTTTCGGCCCTACATCGCTGCAGTGCTCCAGCCATGTTACACTGTTTTTCAGTTCCTAGAATGTGCTCTCTCATCCTAGGCCTTTGCCTAGAACACTCACACTTCCTTATCCCCCGGTCTGGCTGACTTCTACTCATCTTTCAAGTTTTAGCTGAAGGACTAAGGACTCCATCTAGCTCCCCTTTTATGCTCGTGTAGCTGGCGATACTTCTCTAATTGAAATACTCTTCACACTTATACTGTACTTATTTAATTTTCTGTTTTCTAGCTAGACTTAAAAGTTCCATAAGCTGTGTCTGTCACACCCACTGCCATGTCCCTCATTCCTAGAATTTTGGCATATAATAATAGGGAGTCAGTAGATACTTGTAGAATGAGTGGAATAAATGAAACTTGCATAAACCTAAGGAAGCGATTTTTTAGAGATTGACTAAAAGAAGAAAGTTGATATTTATAAAGCAGACTTTTTTTTTTCTATAGTTAATTACATGCTAATTGGCTTATAATGATGTTATTGAGCTTTGTGAAATAGTAATTTTCAGACTGCTTTACACAGTGCTTCCCCTGGCTATTTTCTGTTACTAGATCAACTGGATCTCCTTGGTTGTCTTCTAGTCCCTTCCATAGGAAATGTGAGTAGAATTATATGTATAATCTAATGTAAAAGGAGTTAGTGCAGCATTCCTTAGCTGGGATTATTTTGATGTACTTTAAAACTATTATATTTAAAATAAGACTAATCTTAATCTTAACAGTACCACAAATGAATTAGGCTTGTGCCAAAAGCCAAAAATCTGTATCTCTCTGCTTTCTCTTTCACTAAACCTTCCTTTCTTTTCCCTACCAATAACTTAAAAACGTAAAGTAAAAACAAAACCTAAGTACATGACCCCTTTATTGTGGCATAAAATACATTTCTAGCACTTCTTTTCTCCAAAGGTTAAGCAACATTGTTTTTAGTACAATAGCTTGTAGATAGAATATTTAAGAATATAATCTAAGAAAAATTTCCAGAATGGGGAAGAAAACTTGAACAAATTAAAAGGGCTCACTGGTTACCTGGGAAAATTAACTCAGAATTATCAACTCTGAGATGTATCCTAGTAAAACAATTATATTTCAGAGAGAAAACGGGTAACAAGGGGCATTAAAAAATATATAAATGCAAAGGTAACCACTGGAACAAAAATGCAGATACCAAACCTCCCTCTGCAATTTCTAAAAAAATAGACAAGCAGAAAGACATGTCTCATAATGAAAAAAACAGCTAATATAACAAAATACATACAATTAGAAAATGTAATAGAATTGAGGCCAAAGGCATCAGTTTTTCTACAGTCTCATAAAAGGGTTTAGATTAGGCTCACAAAACAAAAACCTTGCAGAGACAACAGACACATCTAAAATAAAGTAATTCAGAGAGGTTAAAAATAAATGGTGGGACAAAAGTATACCAGATAAATGGAAAGAAAAATTGAGCAGATGTAATGGTCCTGATAACAGACTAATAAAATTCAAGTCCCCAAACATTAAATATGACAAAGGACACATTTTAGTGCTAAAGGCCACAAACCACAGTTAAGATAGAATACTTATATATACCCCAAAGAATATAGCAGCCAACTTTATAAAACAAAACTATAGGGGATACAAGGAAGCATAGCTAGAAACACACTAACAATAGGGCACTTTAATATACCAATCTCAGCACAAGACAGATCAACTGGCTAAAAAAGTGAGGAGGTAAGAGCTCTAAACAACATAATCAGTAGGATATGTCTTATGGAGATACATATATATACATAAAATTTATAACCCTGTGTTAGAGACTGTGTGGCACATTCACAAAAGTTGGTTATATATTAGGTCACAGAGGAAACATAACATCCATTGAGTAGAAATAAAACAAACAGCACTCTCTGATCACAACATAATAAAACTAGAATTTACTAACAAAAACAAAAATCAGGCCATTCTAACATGGAACTGTTCTAACAGGGCTACTGTTACAACATGGTAAAATATATATACCTTAGTTGTAAAGCTAGTATCTTATTTAATAGGGAAGCAGTACATGTATTTCTGCTAAGATCTGGAATAAGCAAGCATGCCTAGTATCTCACTGCTTTGCAGCATTGTATTACAGGATTAGCCATGCAGTTTGACAAGAGGAATCAATTAGAAGCATAAGGGTAGATAAAGAAGAAAAACTAGCTCTATTTGTGAATGATTTAATGGTATTACCTGGAAAAGAAATCAATGCTAAAACAGACAAAAACCAGAAAAGAGTTTAGTGTAAGAGCAGGATACAAAATTGATAAATAAAAAAAATGGCCTTCGTAGATACAAACAGTAAACAATTAGAGGACATAATGGAGGAAAATCCCATTTACAATAGTCAAAAAGGTTAAATACTTAAGAATAAATTTAACAAGAAATGTGTAAAACTGAGGTAAGGGAAAATTTTAAACCCTCCTGAAAGACTCAGAAAAAATCTTGAAAACATTGAAAGATATCCTCTGTTCTTGAATAGGAATACTAAGCATTATAATGTTGTTAGTTCTTTCTAAGTTAATTTACAGATTAAGTGCAATCCCAATAAAAATGCTAAATGGTTATTTTATGGAGTTAGACAGTTGATAATAAAGTTCATATGGAATATATTCAAGAGTAACTAGGAAAAAACTGGGTGAGGAGGAGAAAATTGTGAGTGCCTGGTAATTTTACCATATATTAAAATATACTACAAAGCCTTTATAATTAAAACAGTGGGTACTAGCTCATGAATAGACAGATAGACCAGTGGAATAGAAGAGAAAGTCCAGTTAGATTCAAATGCATATGGAAATTTAGTATGACGCTATACACAAGAATAAACTCCAGAGGGAGTGGGATCAAAATGTAGAAAATGAAACATGCCTACCTTGGTGTAGTGAAAGGCTTTCTAACTATGTTTTAAATCCAGAGGTAATAAAAGGAAAAGATTGATAAAATGGACTACATATAAAAATTTAAAATTTGCATGACAAAAAACACCATAAACAAAGTCAAAAGACAGCTGCCAGACTTGGAGAAAATATAACATATACACAAAGAGCCGGTAACCCAAATATATAATACCTTAAAAATTGAGGGACAAAGACCAAAAACCCAAAGGGAAAATGGGGAAAAGATATGAACCAATAACTCACACACAAAAAAGATATAAAAATAACTCACAAACATGAAGAAATGTTCATGCAGATTCATTATTAGAGAAATGCAAGTTAAAGTGCCAGATACCTTTTTTCTCCTATCAGACTGGCACAAATTTTAAAATATACATTCTTTTGATGAGGCTGAGGGAAGCAGGCATTTTCAGACATTCCTGATGGAAACGTAAATTGATAGCAGCCCTCCTCTAGGGAGATTTGGTAATGCCCAACACAAAATTACATAGGCACTTAGCAGTCCCACTTCTAGCAATCTCTACTGAAGATATACCTCCAACAATATGAAAATTTATTATGCATAAGGTTATTCGTTGCAGCATTGTTTGTAATAGCAAATATTTGGAATATCCTAAATATACATACATAGGAGAGTGTTGAAGAAATTATAGGACATCCACACAGTGCAGTATTGTGTAGCTGTGCTAAAGGATAAGGAAGGATGAACCAATAGATTTCTAGGAAATACTGTTACATGACAAAAGCAAAGCCCAGAAGCATACGTTACCCTTCTTGTAAAAACGAAGTTTCATTGGGTATCAGTTTATTGGCTCTCATCTAAAAGTGTACCCTTTTTGCCTGCTCTGTAAAAATGAGTCTCAGCTCTTTAAATATTTTTCCTTTCCCAACTGGCACAGTATTAAGCTTTGTCAGTAAAGGGCACAGGAGAGACTTTGCATGAGGAAGGAGTTCTGCTTCTTGGGGCCATGTGCTGGCTCAGCAGGGTCCTGCAGCACACACAGCTTCCCCAGCATCCAGCTCCCGCAGTACCCGGCAGTCAGTAGCACAGAGCTTTCCCTGCTGCTCCACTCCCCTTGAAACCTCCCTGGAAAAGCTTTTCCTGTCACCCTTGAGGGCAGATTTCCAGCAGGTTCCACTGATGCACCCTAGCAACTTCTCTGCCATTCAGCGAGTCACAGCCATTCCCTCTCCAATAAGGTCTGGCTCTCAGTCCTGGGGGAAGAAAAGGGAGCCTTCCTTGGGTATTCTTTCTTAGCGCAAGGAGTAGGGTTCCTTGTATGCTATTCCTTTGTTCTCTAGCGTTCTCTACTTCTTACTTGCCAGTCTCTCATTACTCCAGTCCTCTGTTAAAAGTTAATAATTCTTTAGATTAAACTTTGTTCAAATTACTGTTTAGTTTTTTTCTCCTAATTGAACTCAGACTGACACAAAAAGGAATATAAGAAAATACATAGGTATCTGTGTATTTGAACAAAAGAAATGGAGAGGGTAAACCAGAACCGTAGAGATTGGTGGCCTGCGGTGGGTGGGTAGGACAGGGGTGGAAAGAAAGGAGGAAATAGGTACAGGTTAGTGGTTGGGACCAAGAGGGAATGATACTTTTCTGAATATGTATACCTTTTATAACTCTTAGAATCATAGTAGTGTTTCCCATATCTTTTACACAACCCAAAAGTAATCAGACAATTAAAACCAGCCAAGATGTAGGGGAAGACCCAAAATAGAATGTGAAACTAACAAATGAGTCTAATTGTGTTACAAATGAATAGCATCACAACACTGAAGAGAATTAGTAAGAAAGATCTAATCTGATTCTGTATAAAAGTGTACTTGGATTCAGTGTTGTAAGGCTGAAGACAAAAAGAACTATTAATTTTTAGTGTTTTTCACAGGGGTGTAGGTTAGCAATTCTGAAACCATGTTTTTTAAAGAACTGAATGTGTAAGTGAATATAGATAAAGGGAGCTGGGTTTCTTGTGGAGAAAAGTTATAAACAAGGAAAGGCTGAAGGCTAAAATGAATCCTGATTTTAGTTTGGGATTAGAAGTATTAGTATAAACTCAATGGCTTTAAAAATATATAACAGAGTATTGGGTTAAATAAACTACATTATTGAAGTTAAAAAATATATAAACAGAAAAATACAGAAACACAGATATTTGTACATGTGTGGTTTAGTATATATATGTATGTTTCGTACCTCTGTCTGCTGAGAGTCCTGGAAGCAGTGACTGCAGTAACAATGAGAACACCTCATGCTCAGGTACAGGTGTCTAAACCTCTCTCCAGTGAAGGAACTAGGGCTCCTAGAAGTGGTTGATTCCAGGGCTGAGACACGAAAATACAGGGTGAGCCTTGAGCATCTTCTGTGGTGCCAGAAAGCAAGGAAATACTTAACAAGAAAAAAAAAAAAAGATGGCTTGTTGAAAGAACAGAGCCAAATTGAAGGAGCTCCTAGTGGCCAAAACTAGAATAATTTGAGCAACAGAATAACAGTAGTATTAGATTTTAACCTGTAGAATAAAGTAAATATTTATGAGTTCATACTAAAAATATAAATAACCAAATAAATAAATAAATAGGAAGAAAGAGGCAGGTCTTCCTCATAATACCAATCAATAAATGTTAAAGGAGGAAAATAGAGAATCACTGTTAGGTATAAACCACAGTAATAAGTGTTGTAGACAAAATCTATTGGTGAGTGCTAAAATTCCTGGATGAAAGTTTGAGGAGAAACAAGATTTGCATAGTCTCAAAGTAGCTCCCCGCAAACACTTATCAGGGACAAAGGAAAAGAAAATATCTTTCTAGTGTAGGAACCTGGCAGACAGGAGCTTAACCAAGGTAAATATCTACAGGAATAAGACATACTAATATTAACATTATGAACGTCAGGATGATACAGTGAGAAGGAAAACATCATTCTTGAGGTATTCTTGTCAAAAGTTTATAAGCTTACTCCAATTATGAGGCAACAGCAATTAAACCCAAATTGAAGGACTTTCTATAAAAACACTGATTAGGGCTCTTTGAAAGTGTCAAGGTCATGAAAGGCAGAGACTGAGGAACTGTAGAAGACTGGAGGGGAAAGGAGAAATAAGAAATGCAATGTGGTGTCTGAATAGGATCCTGGGACAAAAAAGGCACTAAAGTTAAAAATTTGTGAAATTCAAAAAAGTTCTTTAGTTAATAATACTGTATTAATGTTAATTTCCTGGTCTTGATAATTATTCTATGAACATGTAAAATGTTAACAGGGAAAGCCAGGTAAGAGATATAAGGGAATTCTTTGTACTATTTTTTCAGCCTTTCTTTAAGTCTAAAATTAGTTCAGAATAAAAAGCTAAATATTAAAGATATTTTTGAAGCCCCAGTAAAGAATGTTGAAGTTTGATTTTTCTTGTAACAGGGTTAGAAAGAGACTTCTGGAACACCGGGAAGAAACCATAACGATAGACCGGGTCTGCAGACAAGAAACATTTGCTTATGAGATGGTAAAAAGTCTTATCTTTTCCACCTCTTCCCATGAAACAAACTCTCATTGATGTTAGTGATGACTGTATGGGGGCTTTATATTGGATGTGCTTAGTTGGAAACAAATTAGAGAAACTTCACTGGGACTGGGAACTAGTAGGAGAAAAAGACCGATAAAATTCAAGTGATGGGGAATTCCCTGACAGTCCAATAGTTAGGACTCCACTTTCACTGCCAAGGGCGCAGAATCGATCCCTGGTCAGGGAACTAAGATCTTGCAAGCCATGCAGTGCAGCCAAAAAAAAAAAGAAAAGAAAAGAAATTCAAGTGATGGCACATTTTCCTGTCAGATCTTGGCCTTTATTTTTGCTTTTACTTTGGTCTTGCCCTCTGTATTAGGCTAATTTCATGCCTTTCACCACCCTCTTTCTGATATTTTTGTTCTGCTCCTGATTTTGGTTTAACTCTATTCTTTTCTAATCCATTATTTCTTAGCTAAAACCCTCAGAATAATTTAAGATGGTGAATAATGAGGAATTAAGTGTTAGTAGACATGATAGGTTCATTCAGTACATGTTCTTGACAACTTATTACCAGCCAAATGCTGTTTTAGGCACTTAATAGTGCAGAAGGGCACCTGTTTTCTCTCTCACTCATTTTTATAATTGTGGTAAATTTTACATAACGTAAAATTTAACATTTTAACCATTTTAAATGTTCATTTAAGTGGCATTAAGTACATTCACAATGCTGTGTAAGCATCACCACTATTTTCTGAACTTTTTCATCATCCCAAACAGAAATTCTATACCCATTAATACCAACTCCCCATTCTCTCTTCCCCCAGCCCCTGGTAACCTCTTCTACTTTCCATTTCTGTGGATTTGCCTATTATAAATACTTCATATAAGTAGAATCATGCAGTATTTGTTCTTTTGTATCTGGCCTATTTTACTTACTATAATGTTTTAATGGTTCCTCCATGCTGTAGCATGCATGAGAACTTCATTCCTTTTCATGGCTGAGTAATATTCCATTGTATGGATACACCACATTTTGTTTATTCATTCATCTGTTGTTGGACATTTGGGTAATTGCTGCCTTTTGGCTATCGTAAATAATGCTATAATGAACATTAGTGTTCAAGTATCTGTTTGAGTCCATTTTAAGCTCTTTTCAGTATATACCAAGGAGTGGAATTGCTTGGTCATACGGTAATTCTAGGTTTAACATTTTGAGGAACTACGAAACTGTTTTCCACAGGGGTTGAATTATTTTATATTCCCACCAGCAATGCAGGAGTGTTTCAGTTTCTCCACATTCTTGTCAACATTTGTTATTTTCTAGGCTTTGATAATAGCCATCTTAATGGGTGTGAAGTGGTATTCATTATGGTTTTGATTTGCATTTCCCTAATGATTATTGATGTTGGACTTCTTTTCATGTGCTTTTTGGCCATTCGTATATTTTCTTTGGAGAAAGTTCTATTAAAGTCCTTTGAGTCCTTTGCCAGTATTTAAATTGGCTTGTTTGTCTCTTTGTTTTTGAGTTGTGAGTTCTTTGTATGTTCTGGATATTAGATGCTTACCATATGTATAACTTTAAAATATTTTCTTCCATTCTGTGGATTGTCTTTTTACTCTCTTGATAGAGTCCTTTGATATACAAAAGTTTTAAAATTTGATAAAATACAATTTATTTGTTTTTTTTCTTTCGTTATTTGTGCTTTTGGTGTCATACTTAAGAAACAATTGCCAAATCCAACATCATGAAGATTTTTTATTTTACCCTGTTTTCTATAAGAGTTTTATAGTTTTAGCTCTTAATTTGTTGATCCATTTTTAGTTAATTTTTATGTATGGTATAGGGTAAAGGTTCAACTTCATTCTTCTGCATGGGGATATTCAGTTTTCCCAGCACAAAAGACTGTCCTTTCCCTATTGAGTGGTTTTGGTACCTTTGTTAAAAGTCAGTTGACCAAATAAGGTTTATTTCTGAGTTCTCTATTCTATTTCATTGGTCTGTATGTCTGTCCATATCCTGGTACCACATTGTTTTGATTACTGTGGCTTTGCGGTCATTTTTGAAATTTGGAAATGTTAGTCTTCCAGTTTTGTTCTTTTTCAGAATTGTTTTCATTATTCATGGTCCCTTGAAATTCCATACGAATTTTAGGATGAGTTTTTCTATTTCTGGAATAAGAACAAAAAAAGCATTGAGGTTTTGATAGGGGTTGCATCAAATCTTTATATTGTTTTGGGTAGCATTGTTATCTTAACGATATTGTCTTCCAGTCCATGAACAAAAGATGTTTTCCAGTTTGTTTAGGTTGTGTTTAATTTTGTTTGGCAACATTTTGTAGTTTTTTTGTATGTACAAGTCTTTCATCTCCTTTGTTACATTGTTTATTAAGTATTTTTTTTCCTTGCTACTTTTTTTTTTTTTGCGGTATGCGGGCCTCTCACTGTTGTGGCCTCTCCCGTTGCGGGGCACAGGCTCCGGATGCGCAGGCTCAGCAGCCATGGCTCACAGGCCTAGCCGATCCGCGGCATGTGGGATCTTCCTGGACCGGGCCACGAACCCGTGTCCCCTGCATTGGCAGGCGATCTCTCAACCACTGCGCCACCAGGGAAGCCCTTCCTTACTATTTTAAATGGAATTGTTTTCTTAATATTCTTTTCAAATTGTTCATTGCTATTGTATAGAAATACAACTGATTATTTTTTTTTTTTTGCGGTACGCGGGCCTCTCACTGTTGTGGCCTCTCCCGTTGCGGAGCACAGGCTCCGGACGCGCAGGCTCAGCGGCCATGGCTCATGGGCCTAGCCGCTCTGCGACATGTGGGATCTTCCCGGACCGAGGCACAAACCTGTGTCCCCTGCATTGGCAGGTGGACTCTCAACCACTGCGCTACCAGGGAAGCCCAATACAACTGATATTTGTGTTGGTTTTATATCCTGCAACTTTGCTAAATTTATTAGCTCTAACAGGATTTTTGTGTGTGTGTGAGTTCTTTAGGATTTTTTACATCGAAGATCATGCATGTCATCGGCAGAGATAACTTTATTCTTTTCCAATTTGGTTGCTCACTTGACCTATTTTCCTTCCTTCCTCCCTCCCTCCCTCCATCCCTTCCTCCCTCCCTCCCTTCCTTCCTTCCTTTTCCCTCTAATTTCTCTGGCTAGAATTTCTCTAGTACTTTGTTGAATAGAAGTGGCAGAAGTGTACATCCTTATCAATCTTTAACTATTGAGTATTAGTTTAGCTGTGGGTTTTCCATATATGACATTTATCATATGGAGTAAGTTCCCTTCGATTCCTATTTATTTAATGTTTTTATCATTATTTAATGTTTTAAGAAAGGGTATTATTTAATGTTTTAAAAAATTATTTAACATTATTTAATGTTTTAAGAAAGGGTATTGGATTTTGTCAAATGTTTTTTCTGCATCAATTGAGATGATGTGTTTTTTCCCATCATTCTATTAGTGTGGTATATTGCATTGATTTGCATTTGTTGAACTACCCTTGCATCCTGAGGATGAATCCCCCTTGGTTGTGATATGTGATCCCTTTTATATGCTGTTGGACTTGTTTTGCTAGTATTTTGTTGAGAATTTTTATATTTATACTTATAAGGGATGTTGGCCTGTAGTTTTCTCATAGTGTCTTTGTCTGACTTTGGTATCAGAGTATGCTGATCTCATAGAATGAATTAGGAAGTATTCCCTCCTCTTCAGATTTTTTGGAGGACTTAAGGAAGTATTGATAAATTCACCAGTGAAGCCATCTGGTCCTGGGCTTTTCTTTGTTAGGAGGTTTTTAATTTCTGATTTAATTTTCTTACTTGTTACAGGTCTATTCATATTTTCCCTTTCTTCTTGAGTTAGTTTTGATTATTTCCTTCCTTCTGCTAGCTTTGGGTTTAGTTTTCTTTATCTGGTTCCTCAGGTTTATTGGTTTGAGATTGTTCTTTTCTAATGTAGATGTTTAGAGCTGTAAGTTTCCCTCTTTGTACTCCTTTTGCTGCATCCCGTAAGTTTCTTATGTTGTGTTTTTGTTTCATTTGTTTCAAAGTATTTTGTAATTTCCCTTGTGATTTCTTTCTTGACCCATTGCTTGTTTAAAAGCATGCTGTTTAATTTCTACATGGAAATTTTTCAGTTTTCCTCCTGTTACTGATTTCTAGTTTCATTCCCTTGTGATCAAAAATGATACTCCTTAAAAAAATTTATTTATTTATTTTTGGCTGCATTGGGTCTTCGTTGCTGCATGCGGGCTTTCTCTAGTTGCGGCGAGCTGGGGCTACTCTTTGTTGCGGCGTGCAGGCTTTTCGTTGTGGTGGCTTCTCTTGTTGCAGAGCACAGTCTCTAGGCCTTTGGGCTTCAGTAGTTGTGGCACATGGGCTCAGTAGTTGTGGCTTGCAGGCTCTAGGGCTCAGGCTCAGTAGTTGTGGCGCATGGGCTTTGTTGCTCCATGGCATGTGGAATCTTCCTGGACCAGGGCTCGAACCTGTGTCCCCTGCATTGGCAGGTGGATTCTTATCCACTGTGCCACCAGGGAGGTCCCAGAAATGATACTTTTAATGATTTTAATTTTTTAAATTTATTAAGACTTGGTGGTCTATCCTAGAGAATGGTCCCTGTGCCCTTGAAAAGAATGTATATTCTGCTGTTGTTGGAAGAGTGTTCTATATATGTCTGTTAGTTCTAACTGGATTCTAGTGTTGTTCAAGTCTTCTATCTCCTTATTAATTTTCCATATGAATGTTCTACTTATTGTTGAGAGTGAGGTATTGAAATCTCCAAGTATTATTTTAGAAACCATCTGTTTTCCCCTCAATTCTGTCAGTTTTCCTTTATATCTTGTGAAGTTCTACTGTTAGCTGCATATGTTTATAAGTATTGTATGTTGCTGGATTGTATCTTTTATCAATATATAATGCCCTTCTTTGTCTCTTTTTGACTTAAAGTCTATTCTGCCTGACAGTAATATAGCCCCCTCAGCTTTCTTTCAGTTA